AGATAAGGCACTAAAAATAAGTGTGGATGAACATCACGCAGCGGCCCACGTCCATTGCCAGCAGGGACAACAGAACACCAAGCAGGCTCTCTTGCAGGCAGTGGCCTGCATGAATGAATTGATCAAGGCAGGCCAAGAGAACAGACTCACTGCTGGCCTTTGAGCAAGTCTACACTGTGCAGAGGAGCACGGTGGCATCTTCATCCTCCCTGGAATGGGCTAACAGCCACATTTGGGGCATTCTGGGCATTTCCAGGCTCTGAAAGCAAACTTCCTGAAAGAGGGTTAGTCACTGTTACAAGAAAAATCAACAGTCAGAAATAATAACAACAAAAACAACTTGAAATTCAGCTTTAAGACACAGGAACTCGGAATATTAGTTGTAAATGAAAATTTGGGAGTTAGATACATTAAGCAACAGTGCCACTGAAGTGGTTCTGCTCAGCAAAAATTCAGTGGTAACTGGGGATCATCGCTCTCACCCTCTCTAGAAAAAGACCTACAAACCCAGTGCAGGCCCTGTTCAGAGCAGTCGTTGCAAAAGACACTTTGGCTGTTTCTGGAATTACAGCCTTATGAATACACAGCACTGCCAAACTGCACTGCCAGCTATCAGCCACTAAAGGATCAGCATAGAGGGACATCTGGTCGCATCCCAGCAACCCAGCCCCACATCTGTCCATCTGCTGCCACTCTCCATGGCACTTCACAGAGGAGGCTGGGTCTTCTGCCACAAGCTGACCTCAGTGCAGGTCATGGGAGCCTCGTTAAGCCCATTTCTTCCAGCCCTTCATCTGCCTGCTCTGCTCTATGCAACGCAGAAGGGTGGAAAGAAGCAGAGAGAATGGAAGCTGGGGTTAACAACATTTTGTGTGCACACAGAGCTCCACGTGGCCCACGGCAGCACAAACAACACCAGGGCCTGTGCTGCACTGGGGCCAAACAGCTGAACTTGGCAGAATAATCCCCTTTGTTGTTCGAGGACAAGAACAAAACCATCCACAGGCAAAGCACTCCCAAAGGGGGCTCTGGATGAAGCTGTGCTTTGCTATATGTGAACGTGCAGATGCTGTCACTGCCCTCTCTCACATAGGTCTCCTCTATCACCACTTAACAGAGCTGAGCCTGGGAACAGTCCAGCACAAAACAGGAGCACGAGCTGCTGAAATGTAAGAGTCCAGAGCCTCAGGTAAAGGCTACAGGGAAATGTGTCAGTGAAGAGAGGAAACCTCACTCTGGAGCATCAGACTTGATGACCCTCATGGTGACTCACCTGGGCACACCCCCACCCTGCCAGCAGAGCAAGAAACAAATCAGCCTGAGCAGAGGAGGCAGGAAGAGGAAGAAAACAGCTACACAGGTTGCACAACAACTGGGAAGAACGTGTACACACATTCCTTTTACAGGAACTGCGCACAGACATGCCAGGCACTCAAAACCCCAAAAGAAACACAATATTTGCCCTACGCCAAAGCTGCCTGAGTCACGCATCCCACACAGCACAGAGTCCTTTGTCCCTTCCCTCCTGGCTCGTTGGTGATGCCTGGGAGAGGGAACACACAATCCCAAGTTCTCCCACATCCACAGGCAGAGGTCAAGGTGGGAAGAGGGGAGCAGCTTCTGGGAGTGCCAAAAGCTCCTTTCCACAACAAGAATTCCCCTGCAGTCTGGCAGCAAACACCAGCACTTCAGCTCCCTTCTCCCCTGCTGGCAGCTCCTCCTGCCAGGCCCCCAAAAGCAGCCCAACTCCATAAGTATCCAAAGGCCCCAGCAACAAGCCTGGCCAGTTCCCTGGCCCCCAACACCCCTCACGCTCCCTGGCATCTGCCCTGAGCCACCCCCAACTGCTCCCTCACACCACAACCCACACCTGGGCCCTCCCCGCTCCCCTCAGGTCTCTCCCCTCGACTCTCCCACACCTGCATCCCTCCCACAGAACACATTTCCTTTACCCTCTCCTAACCCCCACCTCCTCAGCTCAAACCCAGACACCGAGCATTCCGTGCCAACACAGCTTCTTCCCCACGGGACGCCGGTTCACCCGACGCTGCAGGCTGCCCTGTGCCTCCCAACCGCTCACCTTGAAATACCCGCCCTCGTAGTAGGTGTTAGGGGGGCCGAAGATGGCCACCTCCCAGTTGTACAGGTCCCCCTCGTCCACCAAATTGACCCGAAACCCTTCCACGGGCTCCTCCTGCAGCCCTTTGAGCTCCAGTAGCAGCGCCTTCTGTGAGCTGGGCACGACAGACCGCGCCATCCCGACGAGCCGGGTAGGCCGCAATTGAAGCCGGGGACTTGCGTAGGTTCAACAGCGGCCGCAGGAAAGCGCGAGGGGGGCGAAGGGAAGGAGGACACAGCGGCAGCTCCGCGCGCCGGTCCGAGCGCAGCCGCGCAATGCATCGCGGGAGCTGTAGTTCGTACAGCGGAGGCCTACACAGGCACCGCCCCCTTGCAACGCCAACCTATCAAAACGTTGTATCAGGGGAGGGGGCGGAGCCTGCTAGATGCCCCGCCCCCACAACGCCGTCCGCCTATGGGAGAGCGGGGCTGGGGGCCATTTCCCGGCAGCCTCCGCGCTGAGGGACCACGTGACGGCAGCGTTGGGTTAACGTGCCAGGTGCGCCTTTAACAAACCGCCTCAGTTCTGAACGCTGCTGCCGTTGACGCCAAGCAGTAAAGAAACTGGAAACTAAAAATAAGAAAAAGCTTTAATATTTGACTGTAAATCAACCATTGCACAGCATAATTAAAAGAGATAAATTCAAATAAATACTCGTATGGCTCAACACACCTCAAAAGCAAAGCGACCTCTAAAGGAATTAAGTTTGTTTTTGTCTTTTGGTGCTATAAGTCCCACAACAGCAGCACTCCACAGTTTTCCTTGGGAAAATGACCATTCAAGTATGAACCTTCATCTCCAGCATCTGGATTGCAGAACTGGAGGCGGTTTAGTAAACAGAACAAGAAAAGAGAACAGCTGCTTGCCAACAGCTTTCCAGCACCAGCAAGCAGCTCCTCCCAGCCACTTATCTTCTCTGCATTTAAAACATTTTGTCTATCAAGTAATACTTTATTTCATGCTTCACATCAACCCTGTGTTTGCCTCCGACCCCTCACAATAGGCTGCAAGGTAGATACGCATCGTCTCATACTTCAGAGGTAGGGATGAAAACAACCCAAATGTAAAGGCAAAGCTCCCCACTGAAGCTGCACAAACACAGCATCGTCAGGGCTAGAATGGCACCACAGGATAGCTGGAGATCCTGACCCAGAGTTAATTCTGTGTTGTTTTTAATTATTAAAACTGCCTTACAGTTTACAGTTCCCACTTATTGCCTAAAAAAAAAGGCTTACTGATGCCAGCTGGAAATAGAGGAGCTACATTCAGGAGAGGCACACCAGGACATGGGAACATCAAGCTCTAGAGGTGAGTGGGCATTGGTACTGCTCAGAGCAAGAAATGGAGCATGGAAATCAGCAGTCTCTCAACAAGCAGACTCAGGGCTCACCTGAGTTGCTCACCCAAGCCTCGCTGCCCAGCCAGTTTCAGGGAGTAGAGCCTTCTCCTCAACACAAAGTGCTGTTTGAACCACGTAGGGAATCCAGCAAATGTTGTTCCCACCTGGACATTACTCAACAGGTTTCACTTTTGCAACAAATAAGGCCGTAGCTTTCTTCAGGAATTCCTCTCTGCTCATAGTGGTGCTGAGCTTCCTCTCATGCAGCGCCCGGTCCATGGCCAAGGCCAAGCAGTCTGGCCCCAACCTGGAGCCTGCCTCCAGATAACGGACAGGCACGGAGAGACCGCTGGCTCCCAGTGCCTCCTCCAACGTACGCAGGACAGCTTGGCAGACACTCTTGTCTGCCACACCGGTACCGTTATCCAGGACATCATACAGCATCCGTGCCTTGGTCACAAACTCCAGCAGCACAAAGCAGGTGAGGACGCCGTAACGGAAGACATCAAAAGGCACAGCCTCGTGGTCCCGGCACTGCACCCTTTGCAGCAATGCAGCAGCCACCTCCTGGGGTGCGTCCCCATGCTGACAGATGCGCCGCAGCAGCTCGCTGTACAGCCGCCCATCCACGCCCAGCCTCCGCCGCCGCCCGCCGGCCCCCAGCACCTCATAGGCCGTGCTGATGTTGTTGTTGAACGCCGTCCTGCCGCAACACGGGATAAAACACCACCTCAACACCGCAGCCGCTTTACGGCACCCCTCCCCCCTTCCGGGACTACAACTCCCAGCGTGCCCCGCGCGCCCGACAGGACACGAGTAAGGCGCCGCTGCCGCGGGGCACGCCGGGAGCCGTAGTCCGCCGCCCGCTCCCCTTCGACTGTGGTCCGCACCTGTGGGAGTGGTGAGCCAAGCGCACGTACCACAGCGCCCGGGACAGGCGCTGCATCGGCGCCGAGAGCTCTGCGGCCGCCTCGCCCGCTGCGCCGGAGCTGCCCAGCACCAACCGCTCGAAGTAATCGGCCAAAAAGGAGACGGGCTCCTCGGGCCGCGCCTCCAGCACCTTCAGCAGCGCCTCCCGCACCATGGCGGTGACGTCAGCTTGCAGCAGGAATTCCTCCTCGTCTCCCAGCCCGCTGCCCGCCGCCGCGGTCGGAGTGGCCGCCGCCCGCCGCTTCTCGTACGTCGCCATCTTCGCTGCAGGCGGCGAAGGCGGGTCCCAGCCATCTTGGTGCGCCGCCATTCCGCTGAAGCGGGAAGCGCCTATGCCGCCATCTTGAATACTGGCAGCCAATCCGTGGGCGAGGAGGCCGGCGGGTCTACCCCCATTCTTTCCCGGCGCATCCAATCAGCGAGCGGAAAGCGGTTGCCATGGTGCCAAGAGCCGCCATTGGGCAAGGCCGTAGGCCGCCATCTTGAGTATGGGCAAGGAGCCGCGGCTCGGGGAGCTGCAGTGAATGCGGGGCTCCTTAGCGGCTGCGGGCACCCCGGGCAACGCGCCCCGCAGCACTGCGAGGGGACCAGAGCCGTGTGGGGACCGAGTCAGAGCACAAACATAAAAATAAAGCACTTTTATTGAAAGTCATGCTGCTGTTACGCACACCCACCCAGCACCACGCATCCCATCACCTACAGCCTGAGGGCTGCACCGAGTGTCTGCTGTGCTGCGGGATTCACTGGGGGCTGCAGGTCCAGGCCAGCACAGCCCCATCCATGCCAGCCCTGCCCATCCCTCACAGCCTCGTTCACTGGTCAGGCAGCAGCAGCCTCAGCCATGGGTCAGACCGCCCTTTGCCAGCCCTGCTCACACACGCACGGAACTCTCAGTGCCCTCCTGATGTGAAGGAATGCAGCAGCAGCTCGGCCAGCTCCATGCTTGCAGCCCCTGGGCTGGAGCTGCTCCTTTTGGGGTCTGGCAGGGAGCAGCCCGCACCCTGCTGGCTCTGCTGGTCCTATGCTGAAGCTGGGCTGCCTGGCTTATAGGTGCTCAGCTTCTTGCATGGCCAAGGGCAGAAAGGAGGATGGCAGGAGCTGATGGGAAGGAATCCGCTCTTAGGACAGATCGTAATGTGATTTAAATCGTTTCCATAGGCGACGAGATACGATACCAGTCACTATCAGTCCCAGGAGTGAGAACGTTGTGCCCATGGCTATGGGAGGGATGGAGCTGGATATATCTGCAAAGACACAAGAAGGACATGAGTTTGCAGGCCCACCTCCCACACCTGCAGCTCCCCAGCTTTGATCATATCGGACAATGGTAGGGTTGGAAGAGCCCTCACAGCCCCTCTGCCATAGGCTAGGTGCCCCCCACCAGCTCATGGTGCCCAGGGCTCCATCCATGGCCTTGGGCACCTTCAGGTTCTCACCACCTCTTGCTAGAACATATCTCACCTAAAATTCCTTTCTTCTGGTTTAAAGCCATTCCCCCTTGTCCTAACACTACCTCCCCCTGTATAAAGTCACTCTCTTGTTTATCAGCTCCCCTAATGCACCAGAGAGCTGCAGTGAGCGTAACACCCAGCATGGCTGCAGCAGAGCCCAAGGGATGCATGCATGCATGCAGGGGGGACAAGATGGGGGTTGCAGACCCCCCCCCCCCCACTCACCATCAGAAACCACCAGCTGCATGCTGACTGCCTGTGCATGGCGACCCAGCAGGATGCACTGATAGTGGCCTTGGTGATGGGGCTCAACCCGGTCCAACCATAGCGTGGAACCACTGCCCACTGCCACCTCCCGATACTGGGACAGAGCCACAGGGGTGTGCAGCCAACGGACGGAGGCATTTTGGGTACACTGTGCCTGGCACTCAATGCGCAGAGCTCTGCCTCGTGTCCCATTGGGAGGCAGCGACCAGATCTGCAAGCTGCAGGTGGGTGTTGTTACGTGGGAGCCTGGGCTGCTGCCATGCACAGTTGTCCCACCCTGTGTGACTGCAGGGCTCACAGTGTCCGTGCTGGGGGCTGCAGTGCTGTCCAGATGCAGCGATGCTGTGCCCACTGCAGGGTCCTGATGATGTTCTGGTAGGGTGGGTTTGGATGCAGCAGCCCACTCTGTGGGGGTCTCAGGTCTCTGTGACACAGCATTCAGGGCTGTGCTGGGCTCGTGTGGTTCTGGGGATGGAACTGTGGTGGCTGCAGGCTCAGTGATGCTGTGGGTCACCATTGTGGTTGCTGTGGTGTGGGGGCTCTCTGTGGATGTGGTTATGGCTGTTGACTGCTCCGTAACAGCTGTGAAAACAGAGGATCATAAGTGGCTTCAGAGGCAGATGGTGCCACTGTGGCATGTTGTCCCCAGGGGGTGATAGCCACCTTTGCCCATCCTGCACAAGCAAAGCATCCCCAGAGCAGGGAGCAGCACCAATCAGCATGGCAGCAGGGACAGGAGGTTCACAGCACAGCACAAGAAGGGAAAGCTGTTACCCTTCCTGTTTTAAGCAATGCCAGACAGTGGAGGAGGGCTCCAGCAGTGGGAGCATTGTAAGAACCCAGCTCTCCAGCTCAATCCCTGGTACTCACCCCTACTGCTCACAGGAATGGATGCTACACGGGTGAAGGTCTTTGACCCAATTCTCAACGTCAGCTCACACCTGAACACAACCCCTTCTGTCACGTCCTCCCCTGACAACTGCACTGTGGTCACAACATCAAATAGTCCCTCATCGGTCTCTGTTTCTTCAAATTGATCTATCAGCAATTTGTCCTCCCGGTACCAGGTGAGCTGCAGCCCTATGATGGGATACACGTGCAAGGCTGAGCAGTGCAGGGTGGATGGCTGCCCCGGTATCAGTGCTTGGTCCACATTGAGCTGCAGCATCTCTGGGAGAGCTACAAGAGAAACAGCCGTGGGAAGGTGTGAATCTCCAGGGAATTGAAGGACTTAGCAGGGGGAACCCCCAAGAGAAGGGGTGGGGATGCTGCTTACAGTAGACCTTCAGGATGGCAGTGTTCTGGTAGCTGTTGTCACCGCAGGTGCCCTGGCAGATCTTGATCCCCTCTGTGGCCACTTTAACGCTGCTGATCTTCAGGATGCTGTGGGTGAGGAAGGTGTCGATGCTGCCCAGGTTGGTGTCCAACCCCTTCCACTGCACGGTGCCGTCTGGGCAGGGCAGTGAGCAGTTCAGCTGCACCTCATCCCCGTACTGCACCACTGGTTCCTTTGGCACCACCACCAGTTTGTTGGTCGGCCGCCCTGCGGGAAGGAGAAGGGACTGAGGGGGTCAGAAGAGGGGACAAACACCAAGGAACAAAGCAAACGGGATTTTGGTTTAGTCACACTCAGGCACCACCCAGCTCTTTTCTCACCACCACGAGGGGCACAGCTTCGAGCCAACGTTTCCCTGGCAAAATCCAGCCAAGGTCTGCCAAATAGCAGGCATTACCTCCTGATTGTACTCCTTACCACCAAGACTTTTCAGCTATTTTGTTGGAAATGACCCCAAACACTTTTTTCCCTGCAGTTTTCACTGTTCACCAGTGCTGCTGCTCACCTGGCAGCAGGGTAGTGCACTGGAGCAGGGACATATAGCATCACTCACACGCCAGCCACGGGCTCCATCACAATGGGCACAGAGCTGAGAAGCAAGGAGAAGGAGCACTAAAAGCAGCACACAGAGCAAAAGCACTGGGATCTCAGCACAGCCAAACTCACACAGCCTGGGTGAGGGATCAGGCACTCACCACTACAGCCCCACAGCAAGCTGATGAAGAGGAGAGGAGCCAATTCCATCACCCACGGAGCTGGCTGCAGGGCAAAGCAGCAGCAAATGGTGGTTTTCCTTCCTTCCCTCTTGCTTGGAGTGTGTGCTGCTGATTGGGGTTTTCCTCTTCTGGTTGCCAGCCCCGTTCTCAGCCCTTTTTAACACCCTGTAAGATCCACCCCTTGTGAGCAACATCCGGGGGCCCCACAGCCTTCCCATCAGTGGGGGTATTTCCAGAAAGGGTTTCACATTTGACTTTGTGTTCAGTGCCCACCCAGTTACACGACCCTTTGCTTATGGGATCCCCTGACCCTGCAGGGCTCCCATTGCCTCTCACCCCCCCTGACAGCCCCATTCAGGCCAGGACTTGGTTCCATCCCAGCTCCCTCTGCACTTCACCTGGCATTGGTGAGCAAGGCTGTCTGGATATCACATCATCCAGAAAGCAAGAATATCCTTAAATGACAGGGATTTGAATCCTTCTGTCAAGAGATTGAGAGCAATAGGAGGTTAAGCTGCCTCCTCTGCCAGGCTCCTCTTTATCTCCTACCAGGGATACTTTCTTGGGCATCTCCCCACCAAATACACATCACACAGCACTCTGCCCTCTCTCCAAGGCAAACTGTCTCTTTCTGTGCTGAGCACAAAGGCTGGAACCATCAGCTAAAGAGAGCATTTTTAGGGATAAAAGCAGGTATCCTGATAGGGCTGTCTACCCCACAGCATGCATGGCCACAGAGCCACTCCTCATGTCTGGCATCACAACTTTATCCTCACACCCAGCTCTATGAAAATAGCTGGGCCCATTCTGGCTTATCATAGCCCATCATTGTACTCGGGTTGAGGAAGGAGCCAAAGGGTTGAGGGAAGGGATGTGTGATTCCCCACATCTCCCATTAGGAGCTGCTTCCCATACGGGAACACTCCTGAGAAGCAGCTCCGGGTATGGGATGTGCTGCTCCGTTTGGGAACTGTCAGACAGGGCAGGGGAAGAGTTCTGTAAACAACTGCCACCCGAATGTGCACATTCAGCTGAAATCAGGGTGATTAGTGGCTGCAGGGTTTTGTTCTGTCCATCCTGTGTTAACAGAGCTGCTTCCCGGAGTTTCCAGCAGTTACTGCAGTCTGTCCATGAGGTCCTGACCCAGCCCTGCTGCGGAAATGCCCAGGTCTCCTCCATAGGATAAGGCTCTGCATGGGCCAAGCTCTTCCCAGCAGTGAGCTCAGGGTCTCCTCCTCGCTCCCACCCTCGCAGCTCAAACCTCAAAGCACCTCCATGCCCAAAATCCATCTCCCCTCAGCTACCTGTGGCAGCTCTCAGACCTTCATCCCCGAGCATCCCATCACCCCACAGCTTGTGCAGTTTTTCCCTTTAGTGGATTTTATCCTTATACACTGGAAGAGCACACAGGTGATGCTTCTATTCCAGTACTTGATCCAGTGGTCAGCAGCCCTGCCTGCAGCAGGGGTTTGGAACTTCAACTTCGAGGTCCCTTCCAACCCAAGCCATTCTATGACTGTGAAAGACCACGCTTAGGGGAGCTGGCAAAGCCCAAAGTCCTTCTGAAGTTTACTGTTAAGCAGATTGAGAGTCTAAATTGTCTTTAAACTCTTTCAGAAATGGAAAAAACAAAACATTCTACCAAAAAAAAAAACAAAATCTACAAACACATTGCTGGAGTTCAAGGTTGGACTCGCAACGTACATGATTTCCTTCTCCCTCCAGCATACTGATGCTGATAAAAGCTGAGGGTCTTTTTTCCCCCTTTAGGTAACAGTGGAAAAAAAATAACACAATAAGCTCAAAAGTCCAGAGGAAATAAATATGAAAAGCAACATCGTTTATAATAGAGGGCTCGTATTTCCAGCTCATTACAGAGTATTGGCCATCCATCAAAGGATCTGATTTGGATTTGTTTATACTACTTGTGATTACATTGTTCACATTAGTATGATCCTGAAAACCCCACTGAAATGGGTAAGATAAGATCTAAATGAAGCCTGCCTGGAAATGGGGGCAGCAGGTTGGGATGCTGACAGCTGCATTCTACAGCCCCCATGGGGATGCTGGTGCACAGGGATGGTTGCTGTGCATGGAGCTGAACTGCAGACAGCCATCCCAGCTTGCACAAACCCCAAATTATACCTGGTACCATAAGTGTTACCCTGGACATACAGCCTGGAGGTCTCTTTCTTGTTGGATGAGTAAGGCAAGCAGCAGAGGTTCAGCTCAGCGTGTTTTATCTTCAGGCATCAAAGCAGTGAGAGCTGTGAAGCTGTTCTAATGCTCCCATGAAAAGATCCACATAGATGTTCCAGAATCAGGTTGAACGTGAATTGGTTTCGTGTACTTTTCATTCTAGAACACAAGTTTGGAAGAAATTGGTGAAAATCAACAACCAGATGGATTTGTGCCCATGGAGATCAGTACAGAACCTCACATGTGGACTCCAGCCCCAAGCAGTCACCATCCAGAAATACACACAGACTCCAAAAGCCCCGAATCCAACTTGGAACAGATCAGAAGAAAGAGCTTCAACGCAACAGGAATGCAGCAGTTTAATAAATAATCCATCAGAGGAGAGATTAGCCAGTGCTGAACACAAACTTGAACTGAAATAAATACATTTCAATGTTAACTTAACAAAAGAGATACAGAAATGCACACCATAGTAAACTTAGAGCCGTTCTCCAATGAACGTAGGCTTGCTGTGTGCCCACACTTGAAAGATGTTAGCAGCAATTCAAGTGCAAATGGAAGAATAAAAACGAAGTTCAAAGTGATTCCTTTGCAAAGGTAACAGCAAAAGGGCAAGCGGTGGTTTTAATGCATTCAGTTTCTCTAATGCAACAAGATCAGCTTTATAAACTCACTCGAACTGCTGCTGTTAACATTGGAGCTGCAGAGGAAGGGCAGCTGAGCTCTTTTTTTTTTTTGCTGTACGTTTGGGGCATTGCTGTTAACCAACCTGAAGTGTAACTGACTGCAGAACGGTGACTGGCCAGGCTCAGACATCACATAGCAAATTAATGGGATTGACAGAAAAGGCTCTTTTACAAAAAGTTGCATTTCCATAGAAAATAACAAAACTTGGCAACGCTAACTCAATGCTTTCTACAGGTTTTTCAGCCTCCACCACCGACCGCTGCAGAATTACCAGCCCTTCAGAATTAGGCACATTCTTCATTCAGGTCCAGTAATCTCAGCTCCTCCACTGCTGGGCTCGAGGCAGTGTCTCTCACATAAAGGCAGAATGGTGGATCACATCCCTATGCCTAACAGGGAGAGAGGGGTTACAGCAGGGTCAAGAAACCCCCCCACCCAACTGAGGGAACTCCAGAAACGTGAGAACAAATCCCTATCTGCTTCCAATGCCCATAACAACAAGCAGCATCTGCAGGGAAGGCAAGCAGGCTTGCTGCCCTCCAGGGAACATCTGCACCCTCAGCACTGTGGGACTGGGAGCACCTCACACCCATCATCCCCATTTTGCCACCTCTGCCTGCATTGCAGACCCTGGCAGGTTGGGAAGAGACCTTGGTGGAATAAATTATCATTAATAGGAAAGGACTTTGAAAAATATATCTATATATCTATATATTTTATATAATATAAATTATGCTCGTCTTGGTTTTATAACGTTCTGTTCTATTTTAACCTGTGAAGCTTTGAGTGTGAATGAGGTAACTATTCAGTGTTTAATTTCAATTCATTTGCATGTGAGGGACGTAACTACTTGAGTTCATTTTAATACAGTGCAAACAAACAAAGCACCAGATTTACCTGGTGAAGCTCCAGTCGAATAAAAGCTCTTTCTGTAAGCAATACAGAGTTGGAATTGCTGCCTAGAAGTTAAAGTGAGGGGATTTTCTTCAGGAAAGGTGTGTGCTGTGCATCCACAGTGCAACCTATCCCAAAAAGGTCTGGAAACATGGGGCAGAGAGAAAACTGGAGCCTCCACATGTTGCTGATACCTTCTCCAGTCCCACAGTTAAAGCTGCATAAGCAAAACCTCAGTGTCTGAGACAGCTGCTCTCTGCACAGGCAATCAGCTGCTCTTACAGTTCTTATTACAGGATTTAAGTACCAGCCAAAATGATTGGTAAACAGAAGATGAATTACTTCACTTAAATGCCCACCTCCACTAACTAACTGGTCCAGAAAGTTGGTCAACCTACACGATGCTCTTCATTCAAGGCAAGCAGTGATTCTATACTGTTAGGCTCCTAAGGGATGCACATGAAGATGCAGAACTCCATCTGTTCAATCACCACGAACCAGCTCTCCCACTGACAAGCTCACAGAAGAGGTCAAAAGCTATGAAGCCTCATATCCCCTTCACAACCCTCAAGCAGGCACCCCGAGTGAAGCAAACTCCCATAGGAATGCCTGCTGTGCTCCAGGGCATTGAGATCTTCAGGGCTGTCTGGCTGATATAAATACAGAGACAAACAGCATTTTGGTCACTGCTGCACAGGATCAGCACCAAATACAATTACCCATCTGCAAAGAACCAAGACATGAAGTGACAGTGATCCCTTTTGGTCTTTCTCCCTTAAATTACTGTCTTGAACCTACAGAGAAGTGATCTCCACGACAGCTGTATGGATACCCCATGCTGAGATGGGACTATTTTTTGGCCACTGTATCCACAGTCCCCTTAGCAACACATTCCTCAAGTGCCCCCAGTTTGCTCTTTGCTTCCCCAGTGCCATTATTTCTGCTCTGACTCATACAATTGTTTCCTGCTCACTTCACTATCTCTATGCATCTATAAACAACCAAGCGTTCCCCATATCTACCTCAGCTTCTTTCACAGCACTCAGAGTTTCTGTTTCTTCTTCTAAGCAGAGCTGAACCCTGCAGAAGAGGTTGCAGTTTTTCATTCTTCAGCAAAACGAAAGCCTTCAGAGAGGGGCTCAGAAATGCTACGTGGAATACAGACTTGCAGATTCAAAGCAATTGCAACCCTCATCAGGCTCCTTTGGACTGAGAAAAACAAATCACGCTCATTATCTGGTTTTAATATCAAGATGGGAAGAGTCTGTGGAAAAATCAACATGCTTCATAAAAGTGCTCAACAGCTATTTCTCTGACCTCACTCTCAGGAAGCCACGCTTTGACAAAGTGCTTAGCAGAGTTCACTTCTTTCTCCTGCTTCTTAAGAAGCTATTTTCTAATCAACCTTTCCACTTCCAGAAAAAAAATCCCCCTCCTCCCCCCCAAATTCTTTTACCTACTTCCTATGGAGGTAGTGACAGACAGAAGTGTTACATCAGCGTAACAACAACAAAAAAAGCCAACACAAAAGCAACAGAAACCTCCATGAAAAACACCAACGTTGACCACCTAAGCATTTGTAATTCATATAATTGCCTTCCATCTGCCCGTTCTCTCTTCTGAGCTCAGGACAGCATCAATTTCTTGTCTAAGTAAGCATCACCTGGGCCAAAATGGACAAATTCATCAGATCCTCAAGGTGGTGACTATGCTATCTGTTCTTCATCCATGCACACTTTTTCCTTGCTGTATTATTACAGTATGGGCTGCATAGTGCAGCCTCTCGGCCTCCCCCAGGCTGAGGTCAGCCAACTCAGCTGCAATGGGATCAGCATCGAGTACCAATTATGTAAGGGGATGGGGGAATGTAACAGATGCCTTGTTTTATTCTGGCTGGCACACGAATTAGTTCACATTAGAACACAGACAATGCTAGCTCCTTAATTTTTCACTGACGAGTTGAGTATTTGGCAGGTCACACCATGAAGTTCAGTGTTCACAACAAGGGCAGGTTTGCTTTAAAGAAATATCCCTTCATGCAGAGCAGTTCTGTATCTCCCCTTTCCATCAGCACCAGACCATACAATTCAATTTTTGCACCAGCTGAGTATATTTGGCTTGAAGGGAAACCACTTCCCTTCTCGTGAGCTGCTCGTGGTACAGTCTTTCATCTCGCTCCTTCTTGCCTCCCACCCTCTCTCCCCAAACCCCAACTAAGTCCATCTTTGATCTGGAGTTGAGACACAAGCCAGGTCCTTCTCTCCCAACCTCATACACTGCTGTCCTCAAGCAGGGGCTCCTTGCCATCCGAAGCTCCAGCCTGTGGGCTGTGGGTGTGGGTCTGGGCTCCATTACTGTGTTTTTTGTGGCTGCCTGATCTCAGAGTAAGGTTGTGTTCTGGAATGAACAAGGCCACCAGGAGCGACAGCAAGACAGAGCAAGCTCCAAACAGGAAAGGAGGCCCTGGGATAATGCTGCTCTGTAGGAAAAAAACAAAGGAATGATTAATGCTGAAGGCAATATCAGAAGAAGCACTGCAAAAACTGAATGATAAAACTGAACAGATTACCTCATCCGTTGGGTTGGCCATGTTGGTTTTGGAGGCCTTACCCAAAGTTTCCACCTCAGCCATTTCATTCAATTCCACATGGAAAAGATAGAAGACAAAGCCATAGAGAGCTGGCCCCAGGCCATTACACAGACCCCGAATTCCAGTGATCATCCCCTGCACTACACCTGGGGACAGAAAATATTTGTGACCTGAGTGCTGCTAGGATGAATTTGCCCATGAAACAAGTAAGCAATTGAACTTACCCTGCTGGTCAGGGTCTGCGTTCCTAGACACCATGGCACTGATGGCTGGGAAGGTGATGCTAGACATGGCAGCCACAGCCCCTGCTGCCCACATCATCCTTGGAGAGAAAGGGGCAGCAGTCAGGAAGGAAGCTCCCAAGGAGCTGCTATAAACCAGCACTGCATGTGGAGCAGCATCTCCCTCTGCTGGGGACAGAGACCTGTCACAGAGCCACGGAGGGAGAAACCAAAGATGGGCAAACTCTTACCAAGGCTGTGATCCGAAGCCATACCAGGCAAGCTGCAGGATCTGGAAGCCTAGTCCCAGCAGGATGGTGTTTTTATTTCCGATTGAACGCATGAGAATTCCCAAGACTACTGTCTGAAAGTAAAAGAAAAACAAAGTAAGAGCAGAGAGACAACAACACACTGAAGAATAGGAATCAGAGGGAACTCTTGCTGCCATGAGATTGCTCTGCCACGCACAGGCACTCCTCCATTCTGATCACATTCTCATAGAAACCAGCATGTCCCTTTTTATAGCAATCAGAGCATAATCTATGATGTTTTACAGAGCAACACAGGGCCACTCCACAGTTTGTTATTACTTGACAACAGCTACACCCAGAAGAAAAGACAAGAGATCACAGGTAGCTGTAAGTGGTACTGATGGTATCTGAGTAGCCACAGGGATTCTGACAAGTCATTAATCCAAATGATCAGAAGTTTAGCACTTGCCCATAACCTGACTCTTAGATCATAGGCAGAAATCAGTTCTCACCTGAGCCAGTATAGAGAGAATTCCAACAACACCAATAAATGCTGCCACAGTTTCTGAGGAAAAACCAATGACCTGTGAAAACACCAAGAAGGGATTCTTCAGGCAAGAGATGTGCACCATACAACCAAAACCACTCCAACAGTGTCACTAACATTTACTGACACTGCTTATCAGCTCCTTAAACATTAATCAACTGTACATTCCTCTACCTTACTGGAATAAAACACAAAGTGATCAAGAGGCTCCCACATCTATTTTTTTTTTGTTATTATTATTTTTTTTTAGGAAAGCTGGAACATGTCACTATTTCTTATGGTTTCAGCTTCATTAAGCCATTGGCCAACATTAGGTTCCTATGGACATGCAGCTTAGAGAACATTTCTAGGCTGGGTTTGTGCATTCAGAGCCTTCCTTGCTCACAGTACACTGACCTGTCGCAGGTACAGGAAAAAACTGGAGTACTGGCCAGCTTCAGGAAGATAGGAGAGAAAGACAGTGATACAGATGAGCAGCACGGTAGAATCCTGACCCACTTTCCTCAAAGACTGTAGAAAAGAGGAGGGGAAAAAAAAAAGTTAAAACCTATTGCATACTGTCCAGGGTAAACAAAAGTGTTTAAGTTACCATCTCACATGCAAAAAGGGAATGCTTGGATAAGACCACACTTGTTTACTCAGAACAGCCCTCTGTAAATGCCTTCTGTTCATAAACAGCAAATACCTAGCATTCCAGATGAAGATGTGAACACTGTCACAGACAAGACACAAAATTATATCTATTTACACCTTAGAATGAGGAATTTTTGCTTTTTAGTTTCTTACATTTATGGCCAACTGCTTTTAAGCCCAATTTTTGTTCCCTCAGACTGCCAACATAGTTCTCCAAGCAAGCAGAGGAGGTGAAACTGCAAAGCTCACCACCATCAGCAAGTCCCTAAGAAGCCAGGGACACGCAAGACTTCTCCTGAAACAATTCTACTACTAAGTAAAGTAATTCATATTGCAGCAGCAAGTAGAAACCATGGTGCACTTGGAAAGCTATGATCTTACTGCTTATTGTGATGGGATGATTCACAGAAGTGAAATACCACAAGTGAGGACTACAATGTGATACTCCTGGATCCACAATAACTTTCTGGTTCAGGTATTGGATAGACTGACCAATGGTGATATCACCCAGAGAGAACTTGATAAGCTCTAAAGGTGGAACATAACGAGGTTCAATAAAGAAAAGTGTAAGGTTTTGCACTTGGGTTGGGGTAATCCCAGGTATGTAAAGTGGGAGAAGAACTCCCTGAGAGTAGCCCTTCCAACCCAAGCCATTCTATGATTTTCTGATATTTAATACATCTAGCACATTTCCTCCAAGAGATGCTCTTGCTTTAAGACTTTACATATGCAGCCACGTCAGGCAAGAGAGAAGTTACTTTTATATACATGCAATCTGCTATCAGTTAAACACTGTATCTTTGCCAGCATTCACCTTGATCTTTTGTGGAATGCATCTTTCTTTTGAGAGAAAACAGCAGAAATACAGCACCCACGAATATCACCAGAGTGCAGAAAAATAGCAGCAAGATTACTTACAGCAAATGGGTCTGCTTGTTCCCAAGAGATTGGAGCTCCCCAGGAGACAGGGCGCATCTCTTCTGGCAGAGATTCTGGCACAGCCAGCAGGATGAAACCAATATCCAGCAAAGCAACACCTGAAGCTAGCACAACTACTAGTGTATCACCATAGGCTTGGGAAAGGTATGCACCAATTGCTGGGCTTGTGACCAAACTAGCAGCAAACGTAGCTGACACCTAGAAGCATAAAAGATGAATAACGCAGCTTCTTCTGACCAGAGCTTATTTTCTCCTCCACAGTAACTGAAGGGTATTAATTTTGCCATCTTGGAAGGAGGCAATCCAAGGGGATTCTTGTACACAAGCATATGGCATGTTTGCTTGGTGCCATCCAGGCTGAGTTCTAGCAAAAGGCAATTAAAGCTATCCTAACAGCTCATGTTGGTTATGGTGCTTCCAATAACTCCATAGGAAGGGCACAACCACAGGCTACTTGTATGCACACCAGCATCATGGTCTGACCTCTTTAACTGTGCAAAGAAGTTGACAGACCAGGCTGATTTAAAAGCCAAGCAACAATACAGCTGGAGTTCAGATAACATAGAGATAAGCTTGCTCTCTCAGTGCTCAAAGAAAAGCAAGAACACGGAGACTAACATTAGCAAAGCTTGTATCATCTTGTCACAGATATTGCCCTCAAGCTTGATGTCTGTAAGCCTCCCACCTAATTTTACACCTGTCCTAACAGTCAGACCCCAAGTATTTCCTTCAATAGATGAACCTGTTATTAAGCTCCTTACCAGGCCATATGCTGTGCTGCGTTCATGCTCTTGTGTGATATCAGCAACGTAGGCAAAAATCACAGAAAAGGTGACAGCAAAGACTCCAGACATGGAAATGACAGCAAAATACCACCTGAAACAGATGTTACCAAAGGTAGAGTTAGAGACCAGCTACATAGCAGAAATTGAGTTACAACCCCCAACATATTCTTCCTCCAGTTTATCTTATTTCACTGCATCATGAAGCACTCAGCAACACTGAGCTGCAGGCTTGTAGCCTATGAAGTTTTATGACTTATTTTCCCTTCATGTTATGGCTTATGTTTTACCAGGTGAAGCAATAAAGCTTTTCTTCCTGAAACTGAACCCTCTGGAAGAACTGGACAAATAAATCAGTCTCTAGGCTGAGGAAAGGCCACATGCCCAGGCTCCTTCTTTACTGGACAGACACTTCCACCTCATCTCCAAATGCAATACCAGCAAATCCTTCACTGTTGAGCTTCACACTCGCTCTTCTTCTCAGAACCACTCAGTTTGAACAAGAACAAACTCACCACGGACTGATCTTCATAAGGGGAATTGGTGCACATGTGAAGAAGACAGTGAGGAGGAGGAAGGATTTCCTGCCCCAGACATCAGAGAGAGCACCAATCAATGGGGCACTTAGAAAAGAAAGCAGACCCTAAGAAAAGACAGAAAAGATGACAGAGTTTGACTGAGGGGTTTCTCTCTAATTATCAACAGCAAGAGATTTTGGAGACAACATCTGAAGATAAAGAACCCATTCCTATTTCCTACAAGCAGGCAACGTTCCCAAAACGTAACAGTTCATTAAGTTGCTCACATTTTCAGTGAGGAAAACAAAATCCTTGAGCAGCTAGATGCTGCTAAATAATCCAACCACTTCCCATTCCCTGCAGCTGCTCAGCCTGCAGCTGTGGTCTTCCCAGGCACCCCTGTGCAGCAGGGAGCTGCCATGCCACTACCTAAAAAGATACTGGCACAGCTCTGTCATATTAACATCTGCTATAGACCTAGGGAAAGCTTTCTCTTTTAGATGGAGACGAGTCAGACCTGATGAGAAACCAAAACCATTAAGCACAAATAAAATGGTTCAGTGCCTTTCAGTGTCTTCCAAAGCAGAGATAAGCAGGGAATAGTCTTTAAGCATACCATGGAGAGCCCGACACACAGCGAAGGGAACCCCTCTGATGCTATTTCTTGAGATCTTTTTTGCCAGAACCGTGGCCTAGCAACACATCTTGTCTCACTTCTGAGTCAGAACACCTGGCTATTGCTTTTTCACTGTTTTTGCCTCAAATTCTGCTCTGGGGACTCTGGTCTAGTCACCGAGCCCATTTACCACACCACAGCACACTCTTTATTTTCTCTGATGAGAACCCACTAAGGCCAGTCCAATTTCAGTTTTCCCTTACTGATAAGTTCAGATGTCATTGATTTCTTTTCTCCTCAATTTGGTTCTGTGGCTGATATCATAAAGATTTAGAATGCTTTCAGCTGAAACACATTTGTTACAGCTCCAAACAGATGCTAACAAGCAGCACATTGTTAATTCTTCTCAGTAAGGTCTACTACACAAACTACCCAATTTTATGTCCTATCAATCCTTCATTTTCCATTAGGTTTGCTAGCGAGCACCCCAACATTAAATATGGACATCAAATACTGGCTGATCAGCAAATGTCATGGTTTGCCACTTCTTGCTTTGAACTCAGACTAAATGAAAGTGAGGTACTGGTTAGATTTCATTACATGCACCCAGGAGAGCAGAAGGAAGAGCCCTTACCTTGACTCCGTGAATCAGACCATTCATCAAGAAGGTATGCTGAGGAAAAGTCTGGTGTAACACCTACAGGAGGAGAAATAAAAATAAAGAATGCTAGCAACTTGTACAGGGTTTCCATTCCTGCAGGCAACCGGTGGCTACAGCTGCCTCTAAAAACACAATACAGGGAAAACGGGAAGGAAATAAACATCTCAAAGCAAACCTTCAGCTACAAGAGGATGATCACTCACCGTCAGCATTGGAGTGGTCAGTAAACCCCAGGCAAAGAACTCCAGGAAAATCACCACCACTGCGTGGTACACACTGGGCTCTCCAATCCCCTGTCGCTGCAAAACAAAGCTTCTAATTAAAAAGATATGCACATCCTGGTCTGGGATAAATACATTTGGTTGGGAGCTAAAATGTCAGCTCTGACTGAAGCTCTCCCCCCATCCAGGGTGACTCCTTCTGGATCTACCAATCCTTACCTGTCCTATAAAGCCCATTGGTTTCTTTCTTTTCTTCCCTTTCAAAGAGCATCTTTGATACCATCAAGCCTTCCCTAAAGACAACTGAACATATCACCCTTCCAACCCTCACCTTAAAGAGCTTTGACATGGACCCTCACTGCCTATTTTGACAGCAGTAGATGCAACAGCTCAGAAGAGGCTCCAGAATTTTGGAAAGGTGAGTTTAGCCCTCAGTGCTGAATTTGTTCATTGTGATGGAAAAGGCAAATCCTTTACATCAGCTTAAAAAGAAGCCTTGAAGAGTTTGCTTATCTTACTTTCATTAAAGATCTCTCTCAGCACTTCTAAGGCAGCATTTGTTCAGCTGCCTGCCCAGAAGGTTATCTCCTGTCACACAGGACACACTTACAAAGTCATGAGCCCACAAGTAACACAAATCACGAGGAACAAGGGGAAAACCTCAGTTGAATTACATCAGAGAACTGCACAGACCAAACATTCAGTAGCACAACACACTCCATTCCACAAGAGCTCATTTCTCATGTTAGCAACAGAATGATTTCAACTCAACAAAAAGTCTCCTTAAAAGAAGAAATCAAGTCACCAGCACAGAGCCAAGAGGCACCAACCCTGCCCTAGGGAAACTCAAAGCAGTCAGTGTTATTGCACGCAAGTGAGACGGTTGTTTGTAGCAGAGGAAGAAGGCCCAGGGTGGCACAAACCCACCTCGTTCCACTCACCTAACAGTCTCTCTGCAGAAGACAGCAGCCCTCTCTTGCTTTCATCTCCTCTCTCTGTGTTCTCTCAACCATTTCTATCACAACTGAAACAAAACTAACAGCCCATCTCATCACGCAGCAGATGCAGAAATCCACCCATCAATCACCTCATTGCATTACACTCACGGAATCACAGAATGACCTGGGTTGAAAAGGACCACAATGCTCATCCAGTTCCAACCCCCTGCTATGTGCAGGGTTGCCAACCATCAGACCAGGCTGCCCAGAGCCACATCCAGCCTGGCCTTGAATGCCTCCAGGAACGGGGCATCCACAACCTCCTTGGGCAACCTGTTCCACTCCTTAAGCAATAGAGAAGAACTCATCTTTGGAGTCACCCCACAAGGCCACTCCTCTTGGATGTGCAGCTACAAAATACAAAGAGATCACCGGGAGCCTGCTGGATAAACTGATGACCAGGAGCACAAGAAGGGCTCACTGCCACCTTATGCCTCTTATGGGACAGGTGTGCCTCTCTCTGAGCTGCCATTTACCAGGCATACTGCTTGGAACTTCCATTCCAAGTACAGAGCAGCGATGCCTGGAGCTCCTCACACAACCCTCCAAACAAACACACGTTTCACCCAGACCCTAAGGCAAATTTGCCATATGATGACACCACAAACAGAATCACAGAACCGTAAGGGTTGGAAGGGACCTCCAGAGTTCAACCTCCCTGCCAAAGCAAGCTCCCTACACCAGGAAACACCCCCAAGTTCCCATGCACACCCATGGGAACAGAACCCCCATAGGATCAGAGCAGCAGCTGCATCCATAGGAGGATCAGGAAGGCAAAGACACCCCATCCCACCCGAAACCCGGTCTGTGGGACCAGCAGCTGCCAGTACAGCGGCCTGGAGATGCTTGACATCCAGCAGGGTCACAGAATCACAGAATGGCCAGGGTTGGAAGGGACCTCAAGGATCATGAATCTCCAACCCCCTGCCACATGCAGGGCCACCAACCTTCCCACCTAATGCTAGACCAGGCTGCCCAGAGCCCCATCCAACCTGGCCTTGAACACCTCCAGGGATGGACGGGGCATCCACAACCTCTCTGGGCGGCTGTTCCAGTACCTCACCACTCTCTCTGTAAAGAATTGCCCCCTGACGTCCAACCTAAATCTCCCTTCCCTCAACTTAAAACCCATTTCCCCTCGTCCTGCAGTTATCTACCCTTTCAAAGCGTTGGCTCCCCTCCTGTTTGTAGGCTCCCTTTAGGTACTGAAGGCTGCAATGATTCACCCCACAGCCTTCTTTTCTCCAGGCTGAACAAGCCCAGCTCCCTCAGCCTGTTTTTGCAGGGAAGCTGCTCCAGCCCTCTGCTCATCTCTGTGGCCCTCCTCTGGACCCTCTCCCACAGCTCCCTGTCTTTCATATACTGGGGGCTCCACACTTGGACGCAGTATTCCAGATGGAGCCTCACAAAAGCAGAGCAGAAGGGAACAATCACCTCCCAGTCCCTGCTGGCCACCCCTCTGCTGATGGAGCCCAGGATCCCATTTGCCTTCTCCCCGACACCCCCTCCAGAGCCACTCACGCCGGCCCCGTCCCGTATGACGATCTTCTTGGCCAGCAGGACGCTGCGGTTGAGCCGCTTCTTTTTCTTCTTCTCGCCGGTCATTGCGCCGTCAGGCCGCTGCCGTTCTCCTGCCTCCTCGGCTGCCCCATCCTCACAGCGGTGGGTCGCGCCGAGCCCGGCTCGGACCCTCGCCCAACGGGTGGGGTCAGAGCGCGGAACCCGGAGTGGGGAGGTGGGAAAAGGCGGAGGATGGAGCGGGGGAAGGCGGGCGGCCCGGCCCGGCCATGAGGCCCCTCCCGCCCCGCGGCCGCGCCCCCGTCGCCCGGACGATGGCGTTGACGGTCACTTCCGGCGCCCCGCTGTCGCGCGCTGAATCCTCGCGTCCCATTGGCTGTTCCGCTCGCCGCCTGTCGTCTCATTGGTTGGTAGGGGTCGAGGGGGCGGTGCTTCGCTTGAAGGTTCGTGAGGGGCGGTGCTGTGACGTCAGACAGCTGCCGGGGGGGCGGCGCAAGGCACGATGGGAAGCTCTGGGTCGCCGCAGCGTGCAATTAACCCGCGCTAATTAACGTTGGGCCTGGCGCTGCGCCCTTAATGGGCTGGTGTGATGTAGGAGACGCTTGATGCCTTAACAACTCGAGGACTGAGTGGGGGTTCAGTGCTTCCTGCAAGTTCCTGGGCTGTTCCAAATCAGAACGGCGGCGTGGTTGGGTTGGAAGGACCTGCAGCCCCTCTGTGGGCTGAGTTTCCCCTTCACCTCCAGCTCTGGGTGCCCAGTGCTCAGCTGTGGGTTTGGGCACCTCCAGGGATGGGGCCTCACTGCCTCAGGGTGAAGGATTTCTCCCTCGCATCCAAGCTAAAGCTCTCATCTTTTAGCTGGAAGCCAGTCCCTCTCGTTGTATTGCTATCAGCCAATCATTCTGCTGTGTGCAAACATCCCCTGGGCTTCCAGGACCATCACACGGGTCCATTCTGGCTTGGGGTTCTGTGGTTTTGCGTCCCAGGAGCAGCCCTGTGCCCTGCCTTGGTTTGTTCAGGGGGTTGGAGAAAGGAATTCGAGCTCTGCTGCAGCCCCTATGAAAGATGAGCACTGTTCCCAGCCCCTCCATCCTCACATTAAAGTTACCAGATGGGCTGAAACCAAAGGGTTTGCCCTGGGGAGGCAGAGGGCAGCCCTGTCCAACCAGAGGATGCTGCAGTTGGTTTCATCTGAGTGCTCAGCCCTGCCCCAGTGCTGCTGCAGCCCCGCACACCCGCAGCCCTGACCAGCTCTCCTATTTCACCACGCTTGCTTTAATGTGTCCTGATGTGTCAGCACTTGGGGGGATTCACGTTTCAGGGAGGGCTCCTCTCTTCTGGCACGGCTTCAAAGCAAAATGTCTTTTTGAAATGTCTTCCTCTGCTTCTTTTGGTAGAGCCAAAGGGAGAACTTGCATCCTTTCTCAGGGGAAGCAGGGGAATAGCAGCCAGGTGTCTTCCCAGCATGGTCCCAGCCCCCTCACCCCAAACCCACCACTAAATGGGGACATTGTGACAGCTGTGGCCGTGGGCTCAGCACTGACAGACCTGTGCTTACTTCAGCAAGCTTGTATGCGTGTGTGTTCCCCTCTCCTAATTAATGCTTCATAGACTGGAGAGTCCTTGATGCTTATTCCCTTCATGCAGTGCCAGAGGTGCAAGGAGGTTCATTAGGCACAATATAGAAAAATTATGCAAATGTTGTGCTGCTGGGGAGCAGCAGGGCAGGAGGCCAACACTGCTTGCTCTCCCTTCTCCTCCCACTCCTCTCCACATCATCCATCCCTGGCTCTGTGGTGCTGGAACCACACGTCAGGAGTGATGCCTCTGGTGTCATCTCAGCTAGAAATATGAAGAGCTGCAACCTGGAGGGAGATGGAGGTCAGCCTTGCCTGTTCTGAGGCTGTTCTGTGGCAGGATGGCATTGGGGGGGTCCCACAGCAGGGCGAGACCCTCGCCGTGGAGGGGTGATATAGGCTGCTTTGTTTAGCAATAGGGATCAGCACGTTAATTTAAGGACCAATATATTCTTTTAGCAAAAGGAATCAGTGAGTGCTAATTCTAAAATGTTCCGTTTCAACTTTGCTTGGTGGGTGAACTGCCTCGTTTTCTCTTAATTCTACTTCACAAGAAGCACCGGGGTCCTAATAGACTGCTTACATTTCAGCAGGTGCGAGGAGGTTTTCCTTGGATTTTCACATGCATTGTTTTGGAAGTTGCTCATTCTGGCCTAACAAGCAATGGAAAAAGAGCTGAAGGTTTGCCAAAAGTCTCAGAGAACTGATGGTGGAAAAACAGGGAGAAAGTAAGTGGGCATAAAACCACCCTAAATGCTACAGCGTATGCCCAGAGGGACATTAACATATATTAATGAGTTCTTGGTAAAGAATGAATATGTATGCCAATGTACTGCATATGCATGCCTTAACTGTTTAAATGCAGAACCTGAACTCTAAGAAAGTGCATTCGTTTGTCAAGTTGCCTGGTGTGTATTGAGGAATAAAGGAATGGCACTTTTTAACACTGCGTTGGGGTTAGGGAGTTTTCTTCCTGGATTTTGGATTGCAGTGATGCTGCATCGTGCCAACAGAGGCTGTGATCTTTATCCCTGAAAGCTTTTCTTTGACTAATGATTAAAAGCAGATGAGGGAGGGGGGGGAGGGCAGGGAAGCCCTTGCTGCGAAGCTAGCTCTCCAGAGCCTGAAACCAGCTGCTAATGAGATGAAAATGATCCATCAGGGACCTGTGCAGGACTGGGGAGCAGCCTGTGGGAGCTGGCAGTCATGCAGAAGAAGTGTGGGGGTCATGGAGAGATCCTGGGAGGAGGATGGGCAACCAAAGGCTGTGAGACAGGCAGATCTGCACAAGAAGACACACAGTTATTTGGCTGGTTATGAAGGGGAGATACTGGGCTTGTGGGTTCTGCTTACTTGGAGGAATAAAGAGGGATGGGCTTTGTCAACTACCCATGTGAAGAATGTGAACGTGGCAGCATGGAAGGGGACTCAGTGCTGGGAACGAGGAGACACCAGAGCTTGTTTTTTCTTACAGCAGGCACTTCTGCTTGCAGATTGCTCACTGCTGCAATAACAAAATAAAACACTGTTCGCTGAGATCCTTGCCTGGGTTGAAATTATTGGCTTTGTGAGTTTTTCTCACATGTGAGATAAAATGATGGGGAAAAAAGCTGCTTGCATCAGGCAGGGTCTGCAGGGACCAACCCCCCACCCCGAGCTTGGGCTGGAGTTGCCCTATGGAGTTTGCAGGAGCCCAGCATGTTCCAGCACTTTTCAGCAGTTGAAAAACCAAAACAAGAAGGGCAGAGAGAGGCTAAGAGAAGCGGTTCCTAATATGGCAACAGCAAATGTATGTAATTCTATTACCCTGATTTATCGATTGCACTTAGAGCGATTACTGGCTTTCACCCCCATCATCTGCCAGGGAGAAGGAGACAGTGAAAAGAAGGCAAGATAAAGGCAGCTGTGCATTGTCCAGGGCAATGCAGGCCCCCAGGGAGGCTCTGGTTCTGTTTGTGGGGCAGAGACCTGACCCCTCTGCAGCAGAGCATCCCTCTCGGTCCTCATCCTTCGAAAGATGCTCAGTTGAAAGTGGAAAGGCAGAAATAAACAGCACCCAAGGGAGGATTCGAGGTGAGGAGGTGGCTCTGGGTTTGGTCCCCAGTGTGTGAATCATGCTGGGAGCCCCCACAGTGGGTGTGATGCCTCATGAAAGCTGGCTTGGCCTCCTGCCCCTCTGCTCAAATGCTGTGGGTTGATGCCAGGCTGGATGGGAGGTCTGAGTCCTTTGAATCCCTGAAAAAAAATAAAACAAAAAGCAGCAGCCCCAGGACTGGAGGAGGGGAGTATTACATGATTGCTTGAGGTCAGAAAGTCCCTTTAAGTGTGTCCGTCCATCCTCCCCCTCCTCCCTCCAGCTTGCTGCAGATACTGGCAAAGAAGCAAGAAAATGATTGTGCTTTTTACTGCCTGAACCCTCCAGGCAGATATAAACAAGTGAGAGCCAGACAAAATCAGAGTGGACAAGACCACTGGGTTGGGAGGCGTGGAAATAAGCCAGCCCCATTGTACAGCAAAGCCCCCCTGCAACCCGCCACTCCCAAGCAGCCCCAGGCACCCTGCAAATGCTTCTATTAATGGAGTGGTAGAAAAATGGAGAAAATGTCTCCGTTGCAGGTGAAGGCAGCAGCAAGATGCTGCTGGCCCCTTCCAGAAGCTGCCTGCTGGCCACTGGGGACATCCCAGGTATGGGAGGGGGGCCAAGCCGTGCCTCTGTCAGCACAGCAGCCCGTGTCGTGCAGGAAAGAGCTCATCCCATCTCATCTCGGCTGTCCCCGATTCGGGGCAGGGATCATAGCCGGCTCTTTTGGGGCTCCCATCGTTGGCAGCAGCCTAGAGGAGATCACAGCTGGGGTGGTTGAGGGCTGGGTGATGCTGGGGGGGGCCGGAGAGGTTCAGGGTTGGGTGATGCTGGGTGATCTCTGAGTGGGGTGATGTCGGGGGGTGCCGGGGGGGCTCGGGGTTGGGTGATGCTGGGCGATCTCGGGGTTGGGTGATGCTGGAGGGTACCGGGGGGGGCTCGGAGCTGGGTGATGCCGGGTGATCTCGGGGCTGGGGGGTGGCAGGGGAGCTCGGGGTGCTGGCGGGGCCGTGCTGCCGATGCAGGCGGGGGCTGCAAGGACGGACGGAGGGGCCGGAGAGGGCGAGAGGCGGGGATGCTCAGACAGCCGGGAGGGGCCGGGGCGGGCGGCGGAGCGCTCTCACCATGACATCAGCGCGGCGCGGCCCCGGGGGAGCGGGTGGGGGGTGGGAGCCGGCGCGGTAGCGGTGCGGGGCGCGGAGCGGCGCCGGAACGGGAACGTTCGGCTCGGCCGGGGCGGCGGGGCATGATCCCCGAGCCCAAGTATGACCGATTTCGCGACGAGCCGCTGAGGGCCGCGGCCCGGCCGCGCCATCCTCCGGCCGCCCCTATGCCGGCCCCGGCACCAGCGCATCCCGGTGCGGCCCCGGGGTTGGCACAGCCGTGCCCCGCGGCGGGCGAGGAACCGGAGGCGGGTACCACGTTCTGCATGCTGCTGCCTCGGATGCCTCAATGGAAGTTTCCCGGTCCCGGCGGTTTTCTCAGCCGTAGCCCTTCGGGTTCCAGCAAAGAGCTCTCCTCGCCGGCCAAAACGGGAGGAGCCGTGGAGCCCGGAGGGGCCACGTCCAGCCTGGCCGCCGTGCTGGGAGCCTGCGAGCCGGGCTGCTCGGCTCCGTGCTCGCTGCAGGTGATGAGCCGGCTGCGCGGCGGGGCCGGGGCCGCCAGGAAA